TTGACCAGGAACATTTATAAATTTCTAACACTATAAACCAATTAACTTCAATGGATTCATTAGTACTTTCACGAAAACATTATATAACTTCAGCGGTAAAAAAACTCAAGCTCGACCTGTAATCGACGTGTGATCAGCGAGGCCCACAGAGCTAGCTAGCTCCCTATTAAGTGAATTATACCTACCTCAACTCGAAATTAACTCGCTCATCGTGAACCCTTGATAAGATATCAAGAAAATTCCAGACTAGAAAAAAGACTTTATATTACTTGTAAGTTTGTAAAACTTTTTGTATATAAATCATTGTTTGTAGTAACCGTTATTGTAAATTGTATTATTGTTTGTGTATTAAAATATATTTGTATTTAAAAAAAGAAAACTGTGTGTATCAATCTTGTTAGCAAATATCATAAATTGGAGATATATCGGTATTTATATAACTATTAAATTTAAATTATCAATTAGCTCGATTTCAGACCATTCAAAATTGTAATACCTGCTGTAAGAGTGACGATCGAATCACTCTGTTCGGTTATATAACAGCAACCCAAGGAACGGCTAATTGCTAAAAAAGTAAAATAAACTAAGTAAATTGTAAATTATATTATTATCTGTGATCAACATTGTAAACTGTGATCTCTAATCCGCGTTCAGATATACGTGGTGTCCCAGAAGTCTGGAACTATATGAAAAAATATTAATAATTTATTTATTATTCAAATTGCATACCATTAACAGTCATACACATATCAATTCTTGGTATACTGTGCCATCAGGGTATTTTCTTTCTTGACATTAGAAATGCGTGTGTTTGTTTAACTTGAAGAATAAAATGTCTATTTTCCCTATGGGTCCAAACTTCTGAGACACCCTGTAGATTTAAAAGTACACAACTAACCACTTTAATAAAAGTAATGTTTACGTAACCTCATTTGATATAACTTGTCTGACGAGCTACTAATTGTCTCCAATATTATAATTGTAAACCATAAACATTAACTACATAACGATTTTTGAGGTGATTCTGACTAATGTTTATATGTGTGTTCACAGCTGGCCCATCCTCGTATTATTACAGAATTGAAAAAAACTAAAGATGACCTTCACAAGACGGAAATCCAGCTTCGTAAGTAGACATAAAGTGTAACGATCATCATCTTGACAATAAAAAAGTTCGTAGTAAGAAATATATTGGTTTCTATCCACATGCTTTTATTCTCAACACTAGTCTAGGTCAACTAGTATACATAAAATCTGTAATAATAAAAAAAGGCCAATCAATGACTGGCCAGTTAATAGGTGTAAAACAAAGGGGCTCAATGTGGTCTAGTGGTTAGTGAGTCTAGAATGTAAATTTTAGGACTCTTGGCTCGCGACCCATTGCCCCAAAAGTGTGTTCCACGCTTTGGGGCCATGGGTAGATAGTTTAAATAACGGTATGTTCCACGTTCTCTTAAAATCACCGGAAACATGTATACCAGTATGCAAATTTTCTTTTGTAACTTTAACTTTGTTAGATAACAGTGAAACTATTATGACTTCACACATATGTAAACCACAGGATAAAAGTTTCTTTGGAAATTTTCGCGTAAAGCTATACAAAGAGTTATCTGTACATGCCGTTCTTGATTTTGGATTGATAAACTAAAGGGAAGACAGCTGGTCAATAGCACCAACTTTCAACTAACTTTTGGGTTACTTACTCTTGCCCAACCTAATATTGTGATTTGACCGTCGCTCTTAACAGCGTTTCCATAAGTTCAACGTGCAGAACACGTTTTTCCAGCCACGAATTACCGAATCCACAGTCTGAGAAAGCTAACCATTGAGCCACACCCAGTCCCAAAATGAAAGAAATTAGGCATATACTTAAGAATCTGGGATTTTATTTAACAAATGAGTATACTGACCCGGTAAGCTCAATTCTTATTATTCAAAAACGCTGCTGTAAATATAAGATTTTATTTTAACTTCAGTACATATACGTTTTGAAACGTGTGGTCTGTGATGTTTCTTATTATAAAAACAGCTTATTTTCAGTGTAAGTTCCTGAAGAGTTTTTGATTGCCAAAATGTTAATTATAATGTACTAAAATATATTGACTTTATTTATGTATATCAAATCCTGCGAAAGAATTAAAGATGAAATATTCAGCAATAAAACGTTTTCAAGAATCGAAAATGTTTCCATATACTATTCTAAGCTGTTCATGTTTAAAAGTAAGTCTAACCATTTAATATTACATATTCTTTAAACATTAAACAACATATTGTCGATGCATTACTTATTGTATGAAGGGTGTCCAGAAAGAAACGGATAATGCTGGATAATGAATATTTGTGGTCAATGAATGGTCATTTTAATATGTTAATAGCCATCCTTTGATAGAAGGTGTACTTCTGCAATATGACATGTAGTCCTCGTGGTAGTCGTCGTGTAACAACTGTGATATTAATGTTTGGATAAATGGTCATTCCTGCATATAGTCCTGCACTAACACTCTTTGGTCCTTTGACGAACAGTCAGCATGGACAACAGTTCCTGAAAACTGGTGTTCTGAAAACAGATATATGCAAGTTGATTCATAAAAGTACATTTGTATTTTACTGAACTGGTATGATGAAGACCATGAAATTATTGAGTAAGCACACGGGGACTATATTGAGAACATTGCAATGTGATAAGTTTAACCCACAGGATACATAATTACCTTTATGTCTTAACGATAATTAAATAATGCGTTTCTCACCGATGTTTCACACATCTTCATATTGTAACATGACAACTTAAGCTGAATATATATTTCTACAGAGTGTTTTCAAGTTGTGAAACATTTGAGCAACAATGAAATCTGTCATTAGCTTCCAAATATTTCTCTCAAAGTGTAAAACTGCATTAAAAACAACACAAGTGATGTTTGAATAGCCACAACATAAGTTCAAGTTAAAACAACACAAGTACTGTTGACTAACAAAACAGAACACAAATGTGTAAGCTAATGCACAATTTTTGTGATGACTCTTTTACAATCTACATACACATAATTAAATGTGACTTTACAACAATATATTTAAGTAAACACTGCAAGCCATTTGTGTTATTAGATAAAATACAAATCTTTTGTGTTTTTATCGTTACAACAATCAAATGTGTGGTGTGTTTTACAATAGAAGTTTTGTTCTTATACAGTAAAACGATGTTTGTGTTAATTTAGAAAATCACATTTTTTACAGTACATACAAGGCGCCGTCGATTCATAAAAACATATAAATATGGATAATAAAGAGTTTACACAACATTTTCAGCTAACAAAATCAACAAATTTCCATGCATAATTTATAACGAATATATTGAAAATTCCATTTAAATGAAGTCGAAGTGAATAGAACAATGTAATTTCCCCCGCGAGACAAATGTATCAAATTGTTTGTACTTTAAAAAAATACGCAATTACTTTTAGTTTCTAAATGTAAGTAAAAGCGATTCATAGAAAAAATATTGCGAAAGATGCAGATAAAATCTAGGTCATTTTATATGTTCTCTAAGTGAAACTTTTGTTGGAGTACAAGAAACTTTCAAGAACTTTTGATTGTTTGTAATTAAGCACAAAGCTACATCATGGGCTATCTGTGCTCTGCCCACCACGGGTATCGAAACCCGGATTCTAGCGTTGTAAGTCCGCAAACATACCGCTGTGCCACTGGGGGGCCTTTCAAGAACTACTGGAGGAAGTCTTCAGTTTTAAACCTGTTTCGAATTCGCAAAAAAAGAGTTTGGAAACCACATTTGAGACATGATTTGTCTTGTTAATTCGAATTGAGAGTTTACTTTATATTATTGTTAAATAATTATAATAACGTATTGCGCCATTTAAAAGCAATTTTGATTAAATAGTACTTTATTTCTTCGTCATTATTGTCCAGGTTTAAAATGGGAGTTTTTTATTTTTAAGTTTTGGTTATTGCTAAGTGCAAAGCTACACAATGAGCTATCTATGCTCTGACCATCACGGATATCGAAACTTGGTTTGTAGTAAGCCCGCAGACTTACCGCTGAGCCACTGAAGGCTTAACATGGACGGAAAAATTAACAGAAAAATGTCATCTTTTGTAGGGAAATAAGCTTTTGGAAATTAAAAGATAACTTTTTTTTCAGTAATTCTCGCTGTTTTCAATAGTATGTATTCATATATATATATATATTAATCACTAGTTCTTTTTGAAAAGTTATGTGTGAATAGCTGGCAGATTTGTGTCATGTGACACGAAAGGATTAATCCTTTCCATACGTTGAATTCCCCTTTAGCGACGGAAATTTATTACCTACTCTATATAGCCAATGGTATAATTACTTTGAGATATACTACAGCATAATCTGATTTCATTTTTAACACACAAGGAAGATGACGAAGAAAATATAAAATGACGATATAAACCTATATAAAAAACTCAATATCTTGCCAGTTAAATAAACCTGAATACATGATTTCACCATATTACACTACTTAGTTTTCATTGGATAATTTGAAGTTAAGGAACGTGTTCTCCCCAAAGTGGCTGAAATAAGCCATGGTTCAACGGTCTGTTAAGGTAAATGAACTTTGCTTAATAAGACTTCAAGTTTCAATTCATGCTAAAATTACATATCTAAAACGTTTTCTTTGATCATGTGAATAGGGTCGGGAACACTTTTTTATTCTCGTTCATGTTAACTTTTCCACAAAATTCAACCTTAAAGGAATAGTTGCAAATTAGCAATTTCGTTGTTATCTATTTTCTAACTTGAATAGTTCAGTGATGCATAAATACAATATATGATGTGAACATTTTCACACCACCGTTTCTCTCTCCCCATTCCTTCGTCGTATGAGCAGTGTCCAGAGAACTAACCTTGCAGAGTCCGGAGGATTATCCTGTAGGTCATTAATCCGAAGCACATATGTTTTAAAAGACAGAGCTGCAGATACTACTCTTGTTCTTCTTTGGCTTGGTGTTTGTTCGTGTATTTGCTTCAGAGTTGTCGCACAAAACTACTTAAAGGATGTCTGCGTATAAATGTCCCTAATTTCGAACTGACAGACCAGAGACAAGACAACTAGTCAACAGCACCCCCCCCCCCATATCAGCTTTTAGGTTGTTCTTGTCCGGCCGGATAATGGGGGTCTGACAATCACTCTTTGCGTCACTCTTTATGTCACTCAATAACCCGGAGCGCGTTTTTGCAGCAATGATTCACAGTTTGAATACTAACCACTAGGCGAACCCAAGCTGCATGCTGAAAATATTGTCTGCAAAGGCTATCTGCGCTAGCCGTTCCTAATTTAGCAGTGAAAGACTAGAGGTAAAACAGCTAGTCGTCATCACTCATCGCCAACTTTGGGCTACTCTTTTACCAATGATTAGTAGGATTGACCATCATTTTATAACGCCCACGGCTAGGTTTTCTCTCTCCGAAATTAACCTATGTTGGGAGAGATTTGAATAATAAGACTAGTGCACGAAGTGTCATTAAAATATGTAAGTTAATTCGAATTAAAATTTACGACTTTAGAGAACATTTGGAATATCTTTTATTGTCAAAGTAATTAAATCATACTTCTGTACAAACTTTGCACCATCTGTCATAGCTTAAAATTAAGGTCAGGCTAGAGTGGCCTTGCTTCATACAATGTCGACCTTTTTATTGTATTTTCATCCATCGGTTAATACAGATTTTTTTAAACAAGTATAATTGCCCCATTGTATTGCAGTTTAAAAGAACTTATGTTTACAGAAGTAGAGTTTAGAAGATTTTAAAAAACAAAGTTTTACAGAATTTGATTATATTGCGGATATGATATGAAGAAGAAGATCGGACTTTGTTTTGACTGTGCACGGAGCGAGGCGAAGTGACCAAATGAGTGAGTCTGACTTTGCCCTTTTTATGCTCAGTCGAGGGGCTTCTCGAAGTTTCTAATAGTGTGAGCACGTGATAGTTTCGTGATTTCCGAGCAGAGCAGGTGAGTATGAGAATGAAGTAAAAGTCGTGCAATTTGCTACAATTATCTCGAGATTCGAAAACAAGTAGCATATATAAACAATATATTTGGAATTTTACACCAATACAATACAGTAAATGTTTGAAGTTATCAAAAATGTATGCCTTTCACCTATTAAACTGTCTAAGTAAACTTAATTTCACAGCATAAATCTATTGTACTGAGTTGATTCATGGTATTTCACATGGTGCTGATAAAATATTAAGATATTACAATAACTCAAACCATAGAGAGGATGGACAAATCCTGACTACATTTTTGAAATCAGCACCATCAAATCACTCGGGTTTTCTCTAGTAGCAAAGTTTCTGTTGTCTAGTGTAATTAGAAAACGAAGTCTGATTGAATTCACGAGTTTTTGCGCATTAATAATGTTAACGACAATTTAGTCGGTCTAAATCAGGGGGTAAAATTCACTTTTATTACTAAACATTTCATGATTTTAATTAACATTGTTACAATGATCTTTAACAAATAGAGGAATTATAACCGAAAAAAACTAAAATCATAGAACAGCTAGCATTTGTAGTAGAAAAATAAGGGTTTTGTGACAAATAAAATAGTATAATTAAACAATCTGTAACACTGAACCGTATTATGTTTAATTTAGTTGCTAGAATATCATTAGAGATTTGTGTTCTACTATATATAACAGTGCTCTTAAATTACTTTAGAGACTAATATCCTATATCTGTAACCTAGTCATTAAAGAAGATATATAATTTCATCATTTTATAGAATGCAATTTTCATTTCTAAAACTCGCTATTAAAATGCATATACCATTAACCCACAAATTGCCGGTGAGTTCAGTATGCCCCATCGACTATATTAAAGAAATCGTTTTTTGACTATTAATATCCCAAATTGCTAGTTTGTCCATGACTTTATTCGTTAGAAGGTTTCTAATATCACATGAGTCACACAAAAATGTGAAAAAAAACTATTAATATTGCACTTAATCAGGTCTTTTGTGTATTTTGAATAGAAAATTAGCGATTTCGCTCATGTTTTTTTATTAATTATAACATGAAAAACCATAAAATTACACGATATGATGCAATATGTAGTGACATATTCATATCAATTTATACCTAGTTGAAATGTTGGTTGCCTCCAGTTCAAGTAAAGTCAGAAAGTGCAAAAAAATCACCCAAACAGTTTCTGCTACATTTGTGGAAAATATATTACACTTTCACAAAGGAAAAACATCACACACAAGGAAAAGATAACCTACTAACACTATTTTGGGGGTAAAATTGGTGGCCAAGAAAAACGTTGAGCTCCACATGTATGTTGTACAGTTTGCACATCTGGCTTGATGCAGTGGCTGAATAAGAAGAGAGCAGGAATATCATTTGCTGTACCCATGATATGACGTGAGCCCAAAGGTCACCTAACTAACTATTATTTTTGCAGGAATAATGTTTCTGGATATCCAGACAAAACTAAACAATACATTAAATATCCAGATATTCTATCTACAATGAAATCAGTACCTCATGGGGATGGTCTTCCAGTGCCACATCCACCAGTGAATTGGGAAACAGAAGAGTTATCCTGTGAAGAAAACAATGAATCATCTTCAGTCTCTTCATCTAGTAATTCTATTCCTGTGGCACCTGAACATAAACTACCTACTTGGCTACTTCTCTAGACTGGCTTATGTTTATGACAACTAGTCTACATGGACAACTCATTATAAATTAACATTTTCCTAAACTGAAAATGTATTTCCGATAGGTACCCCATCTCACAAAAAGCTTTCTCGCCTTATACTGTCCTCTTTCAGCACAGATTTTCACTTGCCTTGACACTCCCACTTATTTCTACATACCAACATAAAAATGATTATGTAAAAACCCTCCACCAATAGGAGCGTGAAACTATCCCTATAGTAACTAGCATCCCCTCTAATCTTGAACATGTTAACCACTTTGAGAGTGGTTAGATCAAATCAAATCACACAAAAAGTGGGGAAGATGGATGAGAAATGTGAGAAGAGGTAAGTATCCATCGGAAATACATTTTAAGTTTAGAAAATTAACTTCCAACACAATATATTACCTCCTCTCACAAAAACCTAGAAGCTTGATTCAGTGAAGGGCCAGTGATAAGATGATCCCCTTTAGGAAGTGCCCAAAACAAAATCATGGGGTGTGAGAAGGAATTAAAACAACAAACCCAATATCTGAGCCAGGTATGTTCTTCGTCCTTTAGTAATGTGTCACCAAAAAAGGGCAGAAACATGAAGAGACCCCCAAAAAATTACAATAATAATGGAACTCCCTGGTGCAGAATGGCTAGGGTGTGACAAACCATAAATGGGAGTTCAATCTCAACCAACACATGGCAGCATTTGGAATGGTACATCAGGACCGTGGTAGGAAAATGGTCCTCTACCTTTCACCTCAGAAACAGGTACTAGCAGGAAAGTGGAGCTTCCATACCACGAACAGACCTCCACATGCACACACCTCCAACACCAGGAATAGACATCCAGCAAATGGTGGGAAGGTGGAGAGCCCAGGTGAGTGTTCCTCTCTGGTCTGAAATCTGAACGAATTGGGAATTTTTCATCTAGTCTGTGGTAGGAGGAAGATACCATCCAAACACATGTGAGAACTTATGTGGCTGTCTGGCTCCAACTAATACCGTATCCCTGAGAACAGAAATCTTGTGAAAGATAGAAAGGCAGGTGCCTTAACCAGAGGGGCAAACTGCAATATATGGCAGAGTGTTGCGTCCAACACCTGGCAGCATCTGGAATTAAACATCAGGTCTGCAGTAGAAAGTGTATCATACCCAATACACCAGTACAATGCCACTGCCCTATTTCCAATGGAGTGGTATTGTGCACACTCAGGAGGACAGATCTTCAGGTCCACCATCCCAGCAGCTAGGAACTGGTAAGTGGCAAGGACTCCCATACTCCACTAAAAGGAGGAGGGAAAAAATGCATTGGAAAGTCTGGAAGACCACAGCACAGACAGTGCAATGGGTGACTGCAATAACTTATTTTCATCATGTCAATGGAGTCAATTAACCAACATTTGGTGGCATCTTAAACTGTACTTCAGGTCCATAGTAGGAAGAGCCTCAATGCCATGAATCATCAGTGATGGGCAGTAACCCCTGTCTGCTTTACTCATGTTAGTCCATGACTGTACGGCCTGGGACGAACATATATATGAATCAACCAACTGCAAGGAATATCTAGAATTGGTCCTGCATAACACCCCATCTCAACAGTGTGTGTGACATGACCTTGTGACTTGTTATGAAATCATATTTCGAAGCATAGAGGACACACTGACAAAGTCGATCAAGTAACACCTGGCAGCATCTGGAATTGTATCTCAGTTCCACAGTAGGAAGAGCCTCAACATAACATTCAACTAGCATACTATATGATCACAAGTCATACAGTGTGGATTTAAGACTAAGTGCATCTTGTCTGGCAACACTCATCACTGAGTGGGATATAAGTATGCAATAAAGGCCTCTGGAAATAAAAAGAAAATGAATGAAGTATTTACCATTTACAGAGGAGATAAAAATGGCAACAGGAGGTAAGTAGAAACCCACAAAGCAGGAAATGGTCACATAATGGAAGTAATGAGATGTAAATGTATGCGGAGTGGTCCATATACCAGCACTAATCTTGATAAAAGAGTTAGAACAAAGGATCACATATATTAGAGACACAACCCATTTTTTGAACATGATATCTGATATTAACAACAATGGAAGATTACCTCCAAACACTATTCTCTGCACCATGGATGTTTCTTCTCTTTACACAAACATTCCTTACAATGAAGGCCTGAAAACTCTTGAATCTTCCCTTTTGAAACTTGACAAACCCAACACTCAGACCATTGTAGAATTAGCTAAACTAGTTTTTACAATTAACAGGTTTGAATTTAATAACGAATTCTATACTCAGACAAACGGCACAACTATGGGGACCAAGATGGCACCAAACTATGCCAATGTTTTCATGGGAGACTTAGAGACAAGATTGTTGGAAAGTTATAAAGAGCAACCAAATATTTGGAAATGATACATAGATGACATTTCTTTCATTTGGGTAGGAGAAAAAACTCCTTACTATCTTTCAATAAACATGCAAACTCTTTCCACAGTTCTAATAAATTTCCTCTAGATTACTCCACTACTCAAATAAGTTTTTTTTTAGATGTAAACCTGATATTAAAAGAGGGTTTTCTACATACTGATTTGTACCGTAAACTGATTGATAGACCACAACACTTACATTTTCAAAGCTGTCACTCTCCACACACCAAACAAAATATTACATTCAGTCAAGCATTAGATTAAAGAAAATCTGCTCTGACAGTAAGAAATATGACCGTCACATTGATTCTTTGAAATTAACTATCACCGAGAGAGAGTATAAACAAAACACTGTGATTTGACAAGTTGACAAAGCTAACAATATTCCACGTGTATCTGCCTTGAAACAGTCACCTAAAACAAATTCCTCTCGTGTTCCACTAGTTATCACATATCAACCAAAATTAAAAAACCTACCCCGGATACTGAGAAACACTTTTACCTCTTTCAATTTAATGACAGACTAAAAACTATTTTTACAGAAGTTCCTGTTACTTCTTTCAGGACTTTGAAATCCAAATTAGTGCATGCCAAAGTTAACCTTAATGCAACACCTGGTGGAAGTTATCCCTGCAATGGCAAACGTTGTCAAACCTGTAAATTCAGGCAGCAGACTAACAATTTCTCTGATAAAGACAACCAAAGACAGTTCAAAATCAATAAACCCATAACCTGCACTATAAAAAATGCTATTTACTTAATCCAGTGTTGAAATTGCAACTTCCAGTATGTAGGCCAAACTAAAACAACTATATGGGAGTGGTTTAATAACCACAAATCTTCAATAAAAACGAACAAAGAACTTCCAGTTGCAGAGCATTTCAACATGCCTGACTACTCTCTTGATGACATGATACTGACAGGTATAAAGACAAATTTTACATCAAACAGAAACAGGGAAATTAAAGAAGCTTACTGGATAGCACTGTTAAATACTGTTACGCCGAATGGCATCAATCTCGATCCTGGGATTGTTGACCTTTGAGCGTCTCTAAAAAAATTCCAAATAACTTGTAATTAAGTTTGTAAAGTTTTATTATTATTATTATTCACATTTTTATTCATGCTTCTATTTCTCTAGATTATTATTTCAGGTATCGATTTACATACATAATGAAAATTAATAATAATTCTTGGTTTTTTTTTTCAACTCAACTGGGATTTCTGGTTTACATGCTGTCACACGTCCTACTATATATTGCATTGCGCAGGCTAAAGGTCACCCGTTGTTCTCCCGAAGAAGAACAGTCAACTATTTGAAAGCACTCGAGTGTTGGGTCTTATTTTAAGTTTACCAGCACTAATGATGTCCTCCAAGGGAATAGGAAAATGTGCAGCCAAGGACATGGTTAGGTGATAGATGTGATGGGAAGAAACACAAAAAAGATGACAATCATCTGGAAGAGGGGAAGAATATGCTGGGTAGATTAACTGGCAAATCTAATCTGCAAGGTCACGGGAAAGGTTAAGATTCCATCGGAGAGCCCTGGCCAGGAAAAGAAGGTGGTCGGGATAGGAACAGTCACATAGGTGGGATTTGGAGGGAAGGAAAATTGGGGTTAAAGTAGAATTACCCTCTCAAGCAGCCAAAGTTTAGGGCAGAAAGGAACTATTAGAAAAATGGAGAACATAGGAAGTATGAAACAAAACATGGTGAGCATCAATCAAGAGCACATCCGAACGATGATGACTGCATGTCAACATCAGCAGAAAGAGGGACTTCAAGGAAATGTGATATAATGAACACAAAGACAGAGGTTCAAATGGAGGATAGGTAAGAGTATGGAGGACCACATTGAGGTTCCAATCAGGTAGGGAAGCATAGAGAGGAAGATGGGAAATGGAGAAAGAAGGAAATAACATAGACAGGATGGATGACTGGAACACAAAAGCAAATGTGGTAATCCAAAAAGTGCCAGATAACGCCACCATACAGTGTGCTACAGAGAAAACCGAAAGGCCCTTGTCAGAAAGCCAAGTCAAAAAGAATGTTATGTGAAGACGAGAAGGATGGGAAGGATGATAACCTCTTCAGACAGACTAACAGTAGTAAGTATACCACTTACGCTGGTAAACTGCCATGGAGGAATGACGAAACTATACAGCGT